CTTCTCTCGCTTTTGGGCTCTGCTTCAGAGCAGATAGCCTGGGCGCCAGTTGGAGGGATCTGGGTCCAATCTCCAGCTTGCAGCAAGCAGCAGTGACTAGTAAGAGGACATTTTCTCAGAGGTCCCCACAGGCTGGATGGGAGCAGTGCAGTTGCTCTGCTGCCTGTAACACAGGTTAGATGAAGAGAGGTAGGAAGATGGAGCATGCTCAGGGAGGTGAAATCTTAGAAGGTTTTAACTCCTGAAATGAATTCCTATTGAATATGGAAAAACTGCTGTCTTTCAGATGTTTATAGCTTGGCGAAGTGTGGACAGATTTCTAGTAGGACAGGAAAACTCTCTGTTAAAAAGGTTATTTTGCAGCAAAATCTCAGATCCCTGTTCCAGGATTTGCAGTTGCTAGATTAGCTCAAGGAAAAGGTTGTGGTTTTTTTCAAACAGGGGTAAACCACTGTCTTGTTTCATAGCCTTATTCTCACAAGTGGCCGAGCTGTTTTGGCTAAAGATTTCCGGAAGAATTCGAGCTAAGACAGGCACCCAGTATGGAAACTTCAGCTCCAATAGTTAAAGTCCGAGCCAGCTGGAAAAAGGGTCCCTTGAGTGGCTGGTGTCAGGCAGGCTTAGTAACATGGTGCTCACAACTGTCAGAGCTCACGTCCTGCTGCTGCTCCAGCCTCTGGAGCCCTGACCTCCACAGGGGCTTACAGGGGACTGCAGGGCTTTTGCTTTTTCTGGTGCAGAAAGACAGATCTTCCAGGCAAATTCAGCCTGTGAAGCGTGGGGCAATGCAAATTACCATCATTTCAGGCTGCAAAGCGTTTGATGACACATTCCTACTTTAAAACACTCTGCTTGCTCCTTTCTAGCCCTGTGCAGCATTGCACATGCCTGAGTTTTGTTGATGTAGTTGATGTGGGGCTACAAGTGGCCAAGAAACAGCTCCAGCCTAAGGGAGCGCCCAGAAGGAGGGATTTGAGGCTGGCTCAGCTCCCTAGTGTGACTTCAGTGTATCTCCACAGGCTGTGTGTCAGTACAGCATGCGACAGGGGTATGGATTTACCTTGAGTCAGTCTTGGCTGCGAGTCCTGAAGCCCTGACCTTAGGTTGTGGTTTAACAAGCAGTTATTGAGGTAGCGGTGCCAGCTTTGCTCACCCGCCTCTCTGCCCCCGCAGCACCTTTGATGGCAGTGGCACAGCTGAAAGGTGACATTTCTAACCCCGCTGAGCTGCACCATCGGGTTCACAGGGTGGCTGCACAGGCGAGAGCTGAGAGGTGACGTGGTGACAGGAGCTGTTTATCCAGTGCTGGCATTAACAGGGACATTTGCCGGGTTGCAAGGGGAGAAGAGAAGGTAGAGGGGGAGCGTGTTGTGGTTGTTGGTGCTGTGGCTGCTGGTGGCACATTGGAGCCACAGCTCCAACCACCTCAGGACTTGTGACCTCCTGCCAGCTTCTTTTGCATGTGATTTCTCTCCATAGTTTGCCTGACACCTCCACACTGTGCCCCAGCTGCACAGCGTGGCTGGGTGTGAAGTGGGAGGGTTATCTGATTACAGCCTGATTTGGGGTTTCAGGGGAGGAAGTGGATTGGATTTACGGCAGCTTTAGCTGATGGAGTGCCATCGATGCCACCTGAAGTCTCTGTCACCAAGCTTTTGGTGACTGCCTGCAGGAATAGGATGCAGGGTTACCTGTGGACCTGATGCTGTCATTCTGCTTCTCTTGCACCCACTGTGGATCTGGGGAAACAGATCTGAAAATTACAGGGTTTGCCCTGACCTGGACAGTCAGGATCTCTCTGCCTGCTCTTGTTGGTCTGTGGCAGCTGCTGTCCCCAGGTTTTACTAGTGCTGTGCAACTGCAAGGACAAGAATGACCTAAGTGTCACTCCACCCTCCAGGAACATCTCTTTCCAAGAAGTTTATGACTTAACATGCATTACCAGCAGCTCAGACCATTGTTCAGCGCAGAGGTAATGACGCCCTGTGGGCTCCAGAGCAGTTTTGTTGCTCCAACTTTCATTTCAGCATATCTTCTACAAAGTGTTTTTCTCTTAGTGCCAGGGTAAGCTCAGACAATGCATGGTGTATGTGAGAGACCTTGCTGTGGGTGCAGAGAATTGGTTTCCTTACTACCCATCACTCAAAACATTCCACAAGTTTCTGTGTAAACACCCCAAGTGCTTTGCCTTTTGATTGTACCCTCACCTTGACTGTCTCCTGTGGCAGGGTAGCCTGGGGTTTGCTACCTCACAACCTCACACAGTCATCTCCACTGGCTCCCAGCTCCCAGCTCAGGGAAAACCGAAGCTCCCAGCCTGCTGAGGAAAGTGGTGAAAAGGCACAAAGAGAAAGTTTCTCCTGATTTATGGTGCTTTCCTCTTTTGTCCTACAATTAAGCTCTTAAGAGCCTTTGCTGGCAGGACTGGGAGCTGGAGTGCTGGTGTATGTTCAGGGGTCTTGAAAAAGCACCCACCTGGATGCTTGTCCTTCCCTGCTGGGGGAGCCTCCTGGGAATGAGGCTGATGAGCTTGACCGGGGAGTGAACTAACAGGACTGAGGGAGTTTAGTGTAATTTAATGATGAGCTAACAACACCCAGAGTAGCTGAGCTGGAACTGTGAGGAAACAGCCCTCAAATGTGGTGTCCTGTTCCATGTATTTGCACAGTGGGCAGCTTTGCAGGCTGTATCGAGGCTGAGCATGGTTGCAGTACGTTGGAGCACTGTGGCTTTATGAGCTGGTGGGCACATGGTTCACGTCTGCAGCAACACAAGATGTCTGATGGAGCTGTGGCCATAGTGCTCAGCTTGAGTGAGCAGGTTGCAGACGGCTGTACCTGCCACAACTCACATGCAAGAAACTTTTTACTGTATTTTGGTTGTTAAATGTTGTGTGGGGAACTTGTAGCCTGCAACAAGAGCAGTGGGAAGGGCTGAGGCCCTGCAACCGAGCCTGGCTACAACCACCACAGAACATTGCTCCAGCACTTGGAGCCAGTCTCTGAAATACTCCCTGAAATACAGGTGCTTGTCGCTCTCAGCATCACAAACACCTTTAAGCTTTGTCTGTTTTGGAGGGAGGGGATGTAGCTTTTGCACCAGCCCAGTTTGGAAGTCATCATCAGTCTTGTTTGAGTGCAGTGCCTGGAGTCCTGGGGGTGCTGCCCACTCAAAGTGTGGGGGTTCTTGCAGAAATACCTGGAGATTTTCACCCCCTGGGGACTTGCCAGACTCAGGTGTGGCAGCTGGACCACTGCAGTCTTGTTGTGTGTCCATTTAGGACAAGAAGTGAAGACAGTCCAGCATCCCACCAGAGTGCAGGAGGAGGGAGCGCGGGGAAGACGACTGTAATTTCTTGGGCTGGACTGCGGCCAGAGCACTGGGACTAACACTCTTAATTGTGGGAAAGGCTTCATGAAAGAGATTTACTGTCCCAGAGTGGTCACATCTTTAGTTTTATGTTTCCTCCAAAAGCTGACAGCCCCTGCAGTACGGCACTTCCTACCATTGCTCTGCGGCACCAGCTCAGCCCTGACTCTGGGAGCAGAACACCCTCGTTTGGCTTCCAGGCCCTTTTGGTGCCACCCTGGGTTACCCTCAGTGATTTCTCCACTCGGTGCTGAACTTACTGACAGCTGAGGAACTGGCCAAATGGAGCCTGCAGATCTTCCTCCCTTTTTTTTCTGTGTTTTCTTGGTGTGTTTTAGTCTTTTTCTGGTTGTTTTTAATCTCCCACCCCACCGCTCTGAAATAATTTGCACTTAAGACCCCACTGTTTGTTCTCTGCACCACAGGTGTTTTGCTAGCCCCTGGCTGAAACGGGGTCTCAGTGTCTTGCTCTAATCCTCTTGGCCTTTGCTCAAAATCCCTGCTCTGCCACATCAGCGTAGTTCAGCTTCCAACACCTTCTCCATGCTGACATACAGCTGGTGCTGATGTGCCTGGGAGCCAGGGTCTGTGGGGGCTCTCCCTCCCCATCCCAGCTCTGAGGCTTCACTCATGGACACCCGTTCAGAGTCAGTACCTGCATGTTTGTGGTCACTGTGCAAATCCTCTGCCTGGCTTGGGGCAGCTGTTCTCAGCAGGGAAGCCCTGGTCCTGCAGCAGGTGATGCATAAGCCAGTGAGAAGCATCCTGTGCAGAGCAACCGGCACAGGCGGGCAGGAACCCCCTAAGTGGTGCGGGTGCATCCAGTCCCGCTGGTTCTTCCCAGCCAGCCACTCCCCCACACCTCAGGAGAGGATATGAATGGAGGGCAGAGGGGATTGGGGGCCAGAGGCTGCCCATGAGGCTTAAAACCCTTCTGGGAGCAGCTGGTAGTACCTGAGCGCTCGCAGGCAGCCTGGCATTCCCCACGAAACTCTTGGCCTCGCTCTGCGTAACCCACGCCCGGCTCCAGGCAGTTCCCTCGAGCCAGCTCCCCGCTGCTCTCAGCAGCCTCAGAAGTGGTTTCTGGCTGGGTGTAGATGTGCCGGGGGGATTTGCTCTCACTCCGAGCCGGCTCTGTTTGGAAGAGCTGTGGTCGTGTGGCATCTACTTGAGTAACAGTTCCAATTAAGCTCTCTTGACAAGCTGTTGTGTGACTGCTGAACTAATGGGAGGAGCCCCCTCCTCAGCTGCTGAGGTTAAAACTCCAGCAGGGACAGAGATCAAACATGCAGCTAATTACCCTTTTAACACTTAAACATACCCCCTTCCTTCAGGGAAAGGCATCAGCTCCAGGCAGCAGCTTCTGTGCTGGGAGTCCTGAGTGCCAGCTTGGTGCTGTCTGGCTAAGCACACACAGTGGGGTTGGGCATAGTGTGGGTAGTGTGGCTGCAGCTTCTTCCCACTCCAATTTGGCTACTCACCACCTTTTTTCCCCCTACATGGAGCAATTGGGTCCAGGACAGGTGTGAGCTGGAGAATTGCTCACCCCTGCCCCATGTGTGATGTGGAAAGGGAGGCTGTGAAGGCAAAGCAGGATGGAACATCTGACTCAAACCCTCTCTGTCTCCTAGAATGCATCTCTGAAGACTGTCGCTCTGTCATCCAGGAACAGGCCACAGCCCTGGGGCTCTCCATGTTTGCACTCCTGGTGAGGAGGTGCACCAACCTGCTAAGGGAATGTGTGCCAGGTAAGGGGTTACCAGCAGGATCCATGCAGGGGCCCATGAGGCAGCCTGGTGGGGCTCGGGCCCTCGTTCCCTGCTGTTTTGTACACCCTTTCCCCTCTGCTGGGGCCCATGGATTCTCTCCAAGTATCACAAACTCTGCCCGAGTTATGGCAGGAAAGCCCCTGATGTGTGCAGGCAGAAATGTTTGGAGGAAAGGGATAGACTCAGGGTATGCTTTCTGCCAGCTATTGGGAAACTTCCCAAAACTAGGACCTCGGAATCCTACCTTTATGACTGTTGCAGTGACACCCCACTGCCCTCAGTGAAAGGGATCACAGACCCTCAGGCCAGTCTGTATAGGGAGAACAGATCTGTCTTTGTGCTTGCTGTGGGTTGTGGCTGTTCCCTTGTGCGTCCAAGGCTGGGATGTTGGGATCTGTGTCATGCATCCCCAGTCCCTGCCTGAGCCTGGTCCCTGACTGTGGTGAGCTGGCTCAGCTCTCACATCTTGTATTTGCAGTTCAGGCACAAGAGATGGAGCAGGAGGATGAGGAGGACGACATCAAGGTCTCTGCCTTGCCCCAGGACCTGAAGGAGCTGCTTCCCAGCGTGAAAGTCTGGTCGGACTGGATGCTTGGCCACCCGGACACCTGGAATCCTCCTCCGACCTCTCTCGAGCTCCCCAAACAGTACGTGCATCCTCTGTTTTGTCTTCTGGTGTCTGTTCCTTGGGCTCCTTATGCCACCTTTCCCTCTTGCTCATGCTTATTGCTGGCTGTGCTACTCTGACCTGAGCACCCAGGCGAGGTTTGCTTCCCAGGGAATATTTGGGGGTCACTGGCCACCCTTGGTGACACAGTGACTTCTTCATTGATGTGTGGGTGGGGCTGGAGGGCCTCTGAGGGGGCCTGGCGGGTGCCTGTTGCTTTCGTGTGTTTGAAGATGGATCATGAGGTGGATTTTTACCTTCTGCTTTGGATTTGTGTCTGGTTTGGTTGGGATACCCCTGTTTTAGGTGTTCCACTGGCCCAGCCAGCTGGACAGGCAGGACCTTCCTCTCTACCAGAGGGAACTCCATTTCCAGCATAAGCGTTTTGTTGCCTTTTTTTGACTGAGTCGGGCCAACCTTGGTTGGGCTGGGCTGGCCTGGAGCAGCTCGCCTGTTCTGGAGCTCCAAAAGTCACCTCCCCTCTGCTTCAGAAACCGCTTTTCTCTACCCTGCAATGCAGAAAAGGGTTAATTTTCTAAACTGGCCTATTTCAGCCCATTAGTCCATAATGCGGACTAGGCAATTTGCATATTTTTGGACAGAAAATCGAGTGAAGGGGCCAAGTATGGAGTATGCGAAACAGTGTCTGAGCATGCTCCGTAGCTGCTTTCCCGCAGGATTTTCCATCTGCCTCCGGTACTCCGGATCCAGAGCCTGAAATCACGTCTTATTGTTAATCCAAAGGAGCCAGAACCCAGGGTGATGGGAAGGCGCATTAAGAGTAATCCAGCAAAGTGGCTTAACCATTAATGGGTCCCCGCTCCATGCGTCAGGTCCAGTCCTGCTCTCCTAGTTTATTGCCTCTTACTCCAGTTCTTTTTCATTTGGCTGAGGAAATGGAAATCTCACACAGGAAGTTCTGGGCCTCATTTTGTGGAGATGGAGTCTGTTTTCTGTTTGTCGGCTGCTCGGTGTGGGACCGCTGCCTGCTCATGTGAACTGCTGCCCATCTTTGGGCAGGAACTCAAACTGGGATCCGTCACGTGAACCCGCCTGCACCAATCCCCCCTTCCCCTCGCGCTGCCTGCGCAGGGAGCCGCTGAGCCCTTGGCCACGGGCAGCCTCGAGATGGAATTTCTGATTGGGTTCATGCAGCCAGCACTCGGCGCCTTCCCTGGGATGAGCTGCTCCCCCTCCTGCGGGGCACAGGGCTGTGTCCTCCCGGGATCATGGAGCAGGTGTGGGCTTCTGCTTGCCCGGTAGGGTGGGAGATGGTGGTAGTGGTGGCAGCCTCCCCTGTGGCACATGGCTCTTTCAGATGTAATGGGTGTAGATTGAGGGGCTCTACTTCACCAGTCTGCTCCGTGGAGGAATGAGGGTCTTCATCTTGCAGCAGAGGCCCAGCTGCTTCCCCGCTGTGCCCTCTCCATGGAGGATGGCTGAGCAGCCCCTCTTGTCCCACCATGCCCTGGAGCACAGACAGCCTGCCCCATGTTGGCTCCTAGCTCCTCCACTCTTTGGCTCACCCAGAGAATCTGTCATACCCACGATGAGGAGACTGGCTGCTCTTTTAGCCCAGAGCTCTTGTATGGAGTGGTATTGGTGGTCCAGGGCTCTGGGTCAGCAGCAGCTGAGCTTTCCTGGAGATGCAGATAGGGATGAGTAGCAGGGAGCCAGCTCCGCTATTGGGCATGACCTGGGATTTGCAACATTTTCCCCAGGGATAGGAAAGGAAAAGGAGAGCACTGGGTTAGTGTTTCAGCTCTCTATTGACACAAGCCTGCTGGCTGCCCTGGGGCTCTTCACTAACCAAGTAGAGCCACCGAGTCCAGGGGTTTAGATAGGAGCAGCTTCAAAGAAGTTTAGAAGTAAAACATGGGTCAGAGCAGCAGGCGAGGTGGAGTAAGCCAAGGTTTATGGGCAGGGTGAGCTCAGGAGCAGGGAGGCATGTGAGGAGCAACCACAGATGCCAAGTTGAAGAGCTGAATAAGGGGCCTGTGCCGTGTCACTCAAGCTCCGTGCCTCTCTCTGGTGGGCTGTGCCACGAGGTCCCACCACTGCCAATGGAAGAGCGGGTTGGACATGCTTAAACCACTTTTGTTGCCCCTCGTGATGGCGTGGGTACAGAAAAGGGACAGTAAAAATCCCCTGAAGCGCAGAAGCACCCTGCAGGGATGCCATGAATGTGCTAAAGCTTCTGGAAAAACCAGGCCTCATACCCACCTGGCAGCCCACTAGGAGCCCAGAGCTCGCATCAAAGTGCAGCTCATCCGGGGCCAGTGCTGCTGCCAGAAAGCCGGCCTGGGCTCGGGGCCAGCAGGGCAGCTTGTCAAGACTCCACCAGAGCCTCGGGCCCGGGCTGCCGGGGCTGTGTGTCCCAAGGCCTCCGCTCACGCTGCGTTCGCCATGTTCACAATCGCTCGTTCTTCGTATGGGAGAGAGCTGGGGGACTTTGAGAACGTCTAAACTCAGCCCAGCTGTGGCAGTTGGTTTATTGCTTTCAGCTGGTACTTGAACCCGGGTCCTGGTCTTGGAGTCTTTCCCAGGTTTAATCCCCGGAGCTTTCTCTGCAGCTGTATGACACTGCGCTGACCCCGAATGAGGATAGGAAAATAGAAACGGTGCCAAGCCAGAGTCTCTTTTTCATTTGGAGTCTGGCTGTCTGCCCATGACCAGGGTTACATAATGGGAAACATAGCTGGGGCTCTGGAGAGCCCGCGTTTCACCACGCTGCCCAGACCTTCGCATTCTGATGCTATATATCTTCCTAATTGTAGCTCGGATGCATTTATCACACTGCTGGATTTGAGTCCATACAATAAAAAAAAAAAAAGCCAACCCCACACCAAATTCCTCAGCTCGCTGCTTTCCCCCTTGGACAGAGGTGGAGGGAAAGGTGTGAGGGGTGAGTGCTGCTGAAACCCAGCATGTGGATGTGAGCCATCAGGAGTGGGCTCTGTGGAGCAGGATGTGAGGCTCAAGTAGGCTGTGTCTTCAGAGTCCTTTACTTGGTGGGAGCTTGGGAATGAACCCTGGTTCCTGGCAGGCATCCTCTGGGGGCTCAGTAGTCCCAAATTCAACGCGAGCAAGAAGCTCTGTCTTTCCCCAAACCCCCCTCCTTGGTCTAGTGTACTCATCCAGCTCTTGGCCACACTGCATGGTCACCATGGCTCAGGGAATGTCCTGGAACAGGTTTTTTCAGGTGATGGACTATGTAAATCGCTCTTTTGGGGCCACTGTGTGTATTTGAGAGGTGAAGGGTGTCCTTCCTATTTTGGAAGAGGGACTCAGCAAGCTTTCCGTGGCTCTTTCCGCATGTGTTTCCAGAATAGGAGCTGTCCAGGTGAATCTGTCTCCTTTTGGGCTGTGAAGAGGGCTGCAGAGGGGAGAGCAAAGCTGCTCCTTGCTCTGCTTTGCTGCCACAATTAATCCATTGCTAAATGAAGGACAAGAACCGATGGGGAAGCCACTGGCTGGACAGACACACTGCTGCAGGGCTGACCCTGGCAAATCCATGCTCCTTCTGCGCTGAGCGAAGGGCCTCTCAGTTTGTAGAGACTGTCTGCAAGCATTTAAAAATGGTTAATTTAAACCAAGTATTAAATTAAATCCAAAAGCTGTGAGCACATTCTAGAGCTTACCTTCCCAGAGAGATCTGCCAGATCGCTCTCATCACATCGCTCTTGCGGAGAAGTGTCACTGAGATGGCAGCTCCCACTGGGAGAGATGGACAGAGTCTTGGACACACGTGCCAAAACATTGCTGGAGTCTGCTGAAGACTAAATGGAAAATCCCTTTTGCAGATCTCAGCCCCAGTAATGCTGGCCACCAGAGTTTCCCTATCGAGACATCAAAGCGAGTATTCAGAGGTGTCTCTGTAGTGTAAACCTGGCTGAGAATGAAGGTAAAGTTGACCAAAGCAGAAGCCAAAAGTCTCTGTGGAGAAGGGGGCTGTGGCGAAGCAGAGGCTGGCTGAGAGGACACTGCACCTCTCCTGGGGAGGAAGTTGTCCCTTGTTCCCAATGCAGGTTCCTGGGAGAGGAATGGGTTTATGGATGCCCGGCTGGCCAAAGGGACTGTGTGCAGAGCAGGGTGGGGGAAACCATTGGTGCAGAGGAGCTCTGACCACCTCACCCTGCTCTGTCTGAGCCCAGGACAAGGTTGGTGAACACCTTTTGGGATGAGCTCCCATGGCCAACCCTTTTTACTCCTTACAGGGGAGCTGCTTTTAATTCAGCCTTCCCTGGTTCAGGAGAGAGGAAACCCAGGGGGAGGATGCGGATCACCTCATCCGGTGGGCACTGGGAGCCGGCGGGTGCGCGGTGCCTGGCCCCGGGAGCTCACAGCCCCGAGGCGTTTGCCATCTGCACGGCAGCGCGGCTCGGGCCGGCTGGGAACACAATGCAGGGCTTCTTCTGCGCCGCGCTTTCCGGGTTTGTTCTGCAGCTGTGGAGTTTGGATGTTAGTGTTTAAACAAGCTGGTATTACACAGGAAATGGCCACCTCCACAGGCTCCCACAGGCTTGTAACATGGGGTCATTGTGCTTGATATTAATCACCAGGCAGCCCGCGCCCCCGGTGAAGATGGTGGCTTACACCGGAGCGCCGCGCAGCACCGTGGCCGCGGGGATTCAGTGAGCATCAGGCTCACTCTGGTACCCTCTGCTCTCCCCACACTTTGGTGTGTGCCTTTTGCCTTGTGGTGATGCCCATAGGGGCATCATCCTTGCCAGGAGCCATCCCCAGCCTCGCCGGGGCCACACTCGGCCCCGGGGCTGGGGTCCAGCTCTCTGCGCACTTGTGCGGCTCTCACCATCGCCTGGCCGGGCCGTGTCCTGTCGGCGTGCAGCTGGGCTGCGCTCACACTGACAGCTACATTAAACCTGGAATCCTGAGGCAATAAAAAAGAAATTAACTCTTATTTTTTTTTCCCGTCCTGGTGGAATAAGCAAATGTAAATGTGTCTGTGGGGAAGTGAAT